TGGTTTTGAGCCCATCTGAGATTATCCTATGTATATTTATAAACTGCATCGTATCAAGGAATGAGTTACACACATTTTTGGTTCATAAATTTATTCTAGAGCCCCTTGAAGGTAGATTTGATGCATTGCACAGTTTAGCGTGGAGTGAGCCCTTTATGGTAATAGCCCTCATGGTACAACATGAAGGCACCATGAGGGCTAAGGGCTCAGAGCTAGGGCTATGGGTTAGGGTTGGGAGTTTTCAGACCCTGGCCCTTAATTTATTCCCTTACCCTATATTTTGCTCGTGCCCGTGGGGCTGTAGGGTGTCCCAATACTTTAGGGAGCAATGTCGAGTGCGTGCTCACCCTTATTCGATCCCAGTGTAATTTGGTGTTTCGTAATTATCCATGCTTCAAATTATCTTGACAAGAAGAGTGATGCCCTCAGCCCAGAACAAGAGAGGGGAAAGAGGGGAGGGGTTAGTGAGTGAAAGAGCTGGGCCTGGAGCAAGTCACCCGCAAACAGCTCGGCAGGAAGCGGGAAAACTTGAAGAAGCGTTTCAAGGTAATTATCGTAAATTAGTAAATTTCTCCATTGTGAGATCAATAAATTTTATCTTATCTTATATATATAACTGGCCTTACTATGCTGTGCTTTTTTTCAATTTTGGGAGGGAAGGCGTGCTGTGGATCCTCCAGTCGTTGTGGCTTCCTTCAGGCCAACTGAGGACCCCACAGCCTTGTTAATGGTAAGCAACAAGGAATCATCATTGTCAGCTGGTAGGAGCCCACACTTGTGAATTGTATATTTCACCACAGTGCTTGTATCCCTGCAGATAATAACTATTTGTAGTTGCTTTGACATATGACCTCATGATTTGTATTAGTTTAGTTTTATTTTGTAATTTGAGTTTTCTTGTGGATAGATCTAGTTACTTCCTGTTCTGTTCTGTTCTGTTCTGATTGTCGGCCCCATCCTAATGTGCTTCTTCTATGTCTCTCAGTTAAATATCTTGAGTTCTTTCCCTCTGGTTCTCAGTCCGTTTTGTGTGTGATTTTCTGTTGTGTTTTGTATCCTGGTCTTTATTTTATGGACTTACTTTTATTAAATCATGATTAATATTGGTCATACTTTAGTTTAACCTTCACTAAAAACAGATAATTAAGTGCTAATTAATGTATAATTCATGGTTAATTAGCTCTTGATTGGCATTTATTAAGCACTTATTAATCCTTACACCTTGCACATTCATCTAAAGTGTTACCAAATCAAAATTAAATACATCTAAGTAAACAATTGATTTTGTATGTAACTTAAAGTGTTTTTTGTTTTTTTTTACTGTTATGGTGAAGCATCGTGTGTTTTCAGGAAATGAGAGAAACCGGTCTGATTAGTTTCTTTATTTTCATGCAGCAAACCACACAGCGTGACAGAAGTTACAGGTCAATGATAACTGTCACATGAAAACATGATTATATGTCTGCTTTACAGATCTTGTTTTCTCATATATTTGAAAGCAGTTTTTCCATCACCGTCTCATGAAAACTGTGTTGTGTTGTTGAATATTATACATTAGACACAAGCCTTGACACATGTCATTAATTGAACGCCTTCATTCAAAAGTCCACAGCAGCTAAACTCGGTTGGTCCAAAAAAAGAATACAGTGCATCCGGAAAGTATTCACAGCGCTTCACTTTTTCCACATTTTGTTACAGCCTTATTCCAAAATTGATTCAATTATTTTTTTTCCTCACAGTTCTACACACAACACCCCATGATGACATGATTTTTTCTTTTGAGATTCTTGCAAATTTATTTTAAAAAAAACCTAAGAAACCCCATGTTACATAAGTATTCACAGTCTTTGCCCTAATACTTTGTCGATGCACCTTTGGCAGCAATTACAGCCTCAAGTCTTTTTGACTTTGATGCCACAAGCTTGGCAAACCTGTCTTTGGGAAGTTTTGCCCATTCCTCTTTGCAGCACCTCTCAAGCTCCATCGAGTTGGATGGGGAGTGTCAGTGCACAGCCATTTTCAGATCTCTCCAGAGACGTTAAATTGGATTCAAGCCTGGGCTCTGGCTGAGCAGTGTCCTGAAGCCACTTCTTTGTTATCTTGGCTGTGTGCTTAGGGTCGTTGTCCTGCTGAAAGATGAACCGTCGCCCCAGTCTGAGGTCATGAGCGCTCTAGAGCAGGTTTTCATCAGGGATGACTCTGTACATTGCTGCATTCATTGTGGCTAGTCTCCCAGTTCCTGCCACTGAAAAACATCCCCACAGCATGATGCTACCACCACCATGCTTCACTGTAGGGATGGTATTGGCTTGGTGATGAGCAGTGCCTGGTTTCCTCCAAACATGACGCCTGGCATTCACGCCAATGAGTTCAATAATTGTCTCATCAGATCAGAGAATTTTTTTACCCATGGTCTGCGAGTCCTTCAGGTTCCTTTTGGCAAACTCTAAACTAAGGAGCGGCTTCCGTCTGGCCACTCTACCATACAGGCCTGATTTGTGGATTGCTGCAGAGATGGTTGTCCTTCTGGAAGGTTCTCCTCTCTCCACAGAGGAATGCTGGAGCTCTGAAAAAGTGACCATCAGGTTCTTAGTTACCTCCCTGACTAAGGCCCTTCTCCCCCGATCGCTCAGTTTAGATGGCCGGCCAGCTCTAGGAAGAGTTCTGGTGGTTCCAAACTTCTTAAATTTACGAATGATGGAGGCCACTGTGCTCATTGGGACCTTCAAAGCAGCAGAATTTTTTCTGTACCCTTCCCTAGACTGGTGCCTCGAGACAATCCCGTTTCGGAGGTCTACAGACAATTCCTTTGACTTCATGCTTGATTTGTGCTCTGACATGCACTGTCAACTGTGGGACCTTATATATACAGGTGTGTGCCTTTCCAAATCAACTGAATTTACCACAGGTGGACTCCAATGAAGCAGTAAAAGCATCTCAAGGATGATCCGTGGAAACAGGATGCACCTGAGCTCAATTTTGAGCTTCATGGCAAAGGCTGTGAAAACGTATGTACATGTGATTTATTCGTTTTTTACTTATAATACATTTGCATTTTTGTTTATGTTTTCATTCAAGTCAGTTAGATGTTTTCTTACGGTGTATGCGACGATCTCCGCAGTGGGAATATAACTAAAGCTTCAGTGTTTGTGCTGTGACCCGGAGACAGATGTGATTCTGATGACTGTCCATCAACAGTGAGCGTGACTGCTTTTGTTTTCCACGCGTCATCTCAAGCAGCGGCGCTGTTCTGTATTTGAGGTAAACAAACCTCTCTCTGGAACCAGTTTCAGGAAAACATTTGTTTATATATGTGGAACATGCGAGCAGAATGAGACACTTTTACTGACACGACTGAAGTCTCCGTCTGGACAGGGCCAGAGATTAGTATCCGAGTAACAGTCCACAATGATAATAATAATAATAATAATAATAATACATTTTATTTATAATGCACTTTACATTTGACACCAAATCTCAAAGTGCTACAAACAGCAGCATAAATAAAAGCAAACACAATGCAGGAATCTTTGGTACAGACCAAAATACATACAAAGATCATTTCAATATCACTCTCTGAATATTAAGATGAAGAGATCTTTTATTTGTTCCACTTTGGGGAAACGTCAGTGTTGCATCACCCATTTCCTCAGTGAGTCCAGTCTGAACCTGAAGACCTGAGGAAATGGGTGGAGTCAGTGCTCCTGCTGTTGGAACTAAAACCTGCAGCCACACCTGCCCTTTGACGACCGGTTTGAAAGCCCTGGTCTAAAGATATTACTGAGACTCTGCCCGAATATTGATTCCAAAGAATACTGCGCTTAGTTCAGGCCATATCACGGTTATGATCGAGTTTCAAAGCAGTGTTTTAGACAGAACGATCAGTATATGTATAAGAACAATAGGTGTACACTAAAAACACACATATTTGACATATAAAACCTCGCATTAATTAAACATCAGCAGACACATTTGTTTGCAGTTGTTGTGTTTGTGAAATCTTCCAAAGATGATTCAATCTGATTTTCTGTACTGTTCATGCATACATACACATTTTTCACTCATAGAATAATAAAGATTAGTCCCCACCAATAGTATAAAGAGGACTGTGTGGTAATGATAATAAAAACATCTTTGTTAAAATCGTTTGTTTGGGATTTCCAAGTTGTGGTGGAAATAAACCTTACTCTACAACAGCAGCGTTCTGATTTGTCAGCGGATGACAGCTGCAGCACAGCAGACCTGTGACTATACCAGGACATTAAGTTTTGCCTTTCTGGACACTCGCAGGCTTCACACGTCAGTATTCTTTCATTGAAAACAAAGTGTTGGTAAAACAAATTAGATAGACGTGAGCAAGGAAGATAATGAAGGAGGTATTTGTTATGGATTTGGATGCAGCCCTTGTCAAGACCTGAACCAGACCAGGTTTTGTGGATCAGGGCTCATAAAGAAGTGGGTTGCCATCTTTGCTGAAGTTTTTTTTTTTTGGTTTTGCTGCTGGAGGTGCTACTTGGAGGAACTCATGGCCAGCTCCATGACTGGAAGCCCATAACTTTTTGGGGAGATTAGACCATGGAACACAAATAATAACATAAGGATCAGAAAATGAAGGTGATGTCGCTCAATCTTCATGATCTGCTTTTGGTCTATATACTTCAAAACATTTAACACCCATATAACAGAGATAACATATATTGAACTATGATAGTCACATGACTGTCAACTAGCAACCAATCAGATTGTGCACAGATTCATACACTAACGCTGAAGGAACGACCGGTTTGGACCTTTGTGCCACCGATCTAGTAACAAGCTCACGGTTTAACATTCCTTTTATGTAACACATAATTCAATTTAGCACTACTTTGTCTGAGTAACGATAAAAATGTATATAACTTATACAAAACCTGTGGCTAACATTATCATGACCTTTTACTGAGTATGAACAGAGTGATAATAGGAACAAGCCCCTGACGCTGACGTGTGAAAACCAATCATCATATTGTACACAGAGTGACAGAGGAATTTGTTGGTTGGGTCTTGATTCTGAAAGCAGGGTAGACCTCCTCTGTGAACCTTTCCCTGTAAGTGTGAAGGTGGGTCTTCTGGTCTGAGGAGGTGTCATAGAAGCATAGGGCCCCTCCCTCCCAGTCCAGGTACACCCCCACTCGAGTTGAAGGCTTCTGTTTGAAAGACAATCTCCTGTTTTTATGGAGGACAGAAAACTTCTCCTCTGTACATCCGAGACTCCAGGAGTGGGAGTTCTTCCCAAAGCAGCTCTCGTCTCCTCTGCCTTTGCGTTTGAGGCTTTTGTAGGTGACAGCGATGTAGACGTCTCCAGTGAACTCCACCTCCCAGTACCTCCGGCCTCGCAGCCCCTCTGTACACATCACCTGCTTCCAGTTCTCAAACCTCTCAAAGTGATCAAGGTACGACTGCTTTACCGTCAGAGAAATCGTTCTATTATCATCGGAGAATTGTATCTGTTTGTGAGCAGTGTTTATGTCAAATACGATGGGATGTGCATCTGCAATAGACAATAATAACTATTATTTCTGTATGACTTTGGAAACTCCGACAGTAATAAAACTTACATTTCTTGAACCCTCCTTGCAATCTTTCCTTTCCTCCGTGCTGTAAGCTATAATGAGAATCAAGAAGCTTCCATGATCAATGTCTATCTTTACATAAAATAGAAATTGGGATATAAATAATTATGGACATATTGAATTATTACCTGAGTTTCATCTGTGTATCATTGAACAAATCATTAAGTTTCTTTGCTTCAGCTTCTCCAGGATGGTTGTAGCTCAAGTCCAGTTCTTTTAAACGTCGACCTTCAGATTTCAGGGCTGAGATCAGAGATGCACAGCCACTTTTTGAGACCTGACAACCAGACAACCTGCAGAGCACAGAGTAAGTATGTTAGCTTGTTAGCTCTGAGTTCACTCGATAGCCTCTGTTGGTGCTGTGACCTGAGGGTCTCCAGTTTACAGTGGGGGCTCATCAAGGCACTGCTCAGAGTCTTGACCCCTGAGTCCAGGACGTCGTTGTTACTGAGGTCCAGCTCTTTAAGTCTGTTGGTTTCTGAGACCAGGACTGAGGCCAGAGCTTCACAGGAGCTGGCAGACAGACCGCAGAAGTTCAGCCTGAGGGACAGACAAGAAGGAACATCGATAAGCCTCCACAAAGAGGAGGTTAGGAGACATTGGTAAAACAGCTCTGACCTGAGTGTTTGCAGAGCACAGACTGGACTCTTTAGCCCCTCACACAGTTTAAGGGTCCCAGAGTCCTGCAGCAGGTTATGACTGAGATCCAGCTCCCTGAGCCTGCACTGAGAACCAAGCACCGAAGCCAAGGCCTCACATCCGCTGGAGTCGAGACGACAGCCACTCAGCCTGAAGACCAAGAACAAGACATTGACATTGATTGTGCGTTAATGGTAAAGAGTTCAATAGATGTGACAAAAACCTGAACTGGTTATACAAACGTACAGAACTTTGGTCGACTGTTTGACGACAGGCATCAGATAGTGAAGAGCCTTCTTCGACTGTTGGTATTTGCTCAAATCAAACTCTTGTTCTTCTGTGGACAGTAAGATGCAGACTAGTGCAGACCATTGAGCTGGAGTCAGGTTTCTGGGAATCTTCTCTGAGCTGAGCCAGGTCTGGACTTCTTCACAAAGCCCTTTGTCCTTCAGCTCAATCAGACACTGCGACAGCACCAGGTTCTTCTCCACTGACAGACCTATGGCTAACTTTTCTTTCAAATATCTGACTCTTTCCTCATTCTGTGGATTTTTATTTGGCTTCACCAACTCTTTGAGCAGGGCTTGGTTAGACTCAAGAGACAAACCGAGAAGGAATCGTAGGAACAAGTCCAGATGTCCAGTTTCACTTTCTAAAGCCGCATCCACTGCAGTTTTGTAAAGGCAAATCTGGGGGGATTTGATTAGAAAGAATATGTTTTTTAAAGACTTTTTCACATCTGTTATATAAGACTTTTCTGAGAGCAGGTTAACTCCAGAGTTCATATAAGTCATGTGAACATGAAGAGCAGCCAGAAACTCCTGGACACTCATATGGACAAAAGAGAAGACTTCCTCCTGGTACAGGCCTCTCTCCTCCTTAAAAATCTGAGTGAAGATTCCAGAATACACAGATGCCTCTGTGAGGTCCATGCCACAGTCGTTTAAATCAGACTTGTAGAAAATCAGGTTTCCTCTCTGCAGCTGCTCAAAGGCCAGTTTGGATAATAACGTCAGAGTATTCTTTCTGGTGGGATTCCAGACAGGGTCTTCCCCAGCCTCATTTTTGTATTTTTTATTACTGACTTTGGCCTGGACGACCAAGAAGTGGATGTACAGCTCTGTCAGCGTCTGAGGCAGCTGATGACACAAACAAGGAAATTCCATTATTTTTGTTCTTTATACAAACAGCACACATAACCAAAAACACTGCTTTGTCATTAGTGTAAGATAAGAGATGAGTGCAAATTATAAATCTGTGAGGACACTGAACACCCTTAAATCACCCCTTAATACAACAGTAGATTAATGTTTGAGTATTGTTCCTTATGTCCGTAACATAAAAGAGATAAGACGAAACTATGCCCTCCAGTACCCCAGGGCCTGGGAGAAACAATAAATGTGAGTTGATGAACTCTAAACCGAAATGTATCTCTAGTTTGATCCGTGTTCAGAATAAAATGAAACTGTAGCTCACCTGGCCCTCTCCAGTTCGAAGGATATCATTCATGACTTTAGCAGTGATCCAGCTGAACACTGGGATGGAGCACATGCCGTAGACGCTGCGTGAGGCTTTCACATGAGAGAGGACTTTCGAAATGTCTTCTTCTCTGAATTTCTTCCTAAAGTAAATGTCTTTCTGTGCATCTGTGAACCCCCTGACCTCTGTCACCATATCGACACAATTCACAGGGATCTGACTGGCGGCCGCTGGGCGAGTGGTAATCCAGATATAGGCAGAAGGAAGCAGCGTGCCTCTGATCAGGTTCAGCAGGAGAGTCTCTATGGACGTTTTCTCTCTCACATCTGAGACGCACAAGGTTTCATTGAAGTCCAGCTGCAGACGGCTCTCGTCTAAACCGTCCAATATGAACAAACAGTTAAACTCTTCAAACCTGCAAATGCCGCGGCTCATTTCAGGGAGGAAATTTCCTACGAGTGCAAATAAACTGTGGGTCTCTCCTCTGAGCAGGTTGAGCTCTCTGAAGGTGAAGGGGAAGATGAAGTGCAGGTTCTGGTTGGTTCTGCCTTCGGCCCAGTCCAGACTGAACTTCCGTGTCAGGATGGTTTTTCCAACACCAGCCACACCTTTGGTCAGCACGACTCGAGTCTTCTGTCTCTCAGGACCAGGGCAGAAGAGGTCTGCACATGTGAGCGTGGAGGTAGCTCTGGTCGGTCTCATTTCGCTCTGTGTCACTTCATGTCCTTCACTGACTTCAGAGGCTTCGTCGATGATGTGCAGCTCGGTGTAGATTTGACTCAAGGCTGCTCCTTGTTTCTGAATTCCCTCAAATACAGTCTGATACTTGCTCTTGAGTTGAGACTTTATCTGGCACCGGCAGACAGGAGCAAGAAGTCCTAAGAGAGAAATGGAACATCATGTACATACATTTGAACACAAAGAAGTGTGAGGCAAGTCCTGTGATTTGAATTCTTTGAAGACAACAAAATCCTATTTGCATAATGGGCACTGCTGTGGCAAAATCAAGGATCAAATCAGGAATCAAATCTCAGCTTTTTTTCTCTAAAATGATATTCGACATGATCAAATGCCTGGGGGTGAATTAATTCACCCATGAAAGACTATACATTCTATTTCCACCCACTTGGATCATGTGGACTGTTTTTAATCCCTTAAACATTTGTAAATCAGCAGTGATTTCCTGGACCCTCCCAGACCTGGCCAACCGCCTTGGTGCACCTGGGAAAGGTGCTAAGAAATGCCAACAAACATTGAAGACATGCTGTCCTCAGCGGCCCCCATGGTGCATTTCCGAGCAGCCACATACGGACGCTTACATTTTATCTCCAGGGGTCCTGCAGTTCTAAAATTCTCAGACCGCGCGTTGGAGATTTATAACCTATGGGTGTGGTTAGCCACACCCTAATCCTGATACTAACTCGTAAACAATCTAAGGTCTGTTTGATGTAGAAGGGAGCAGGTCTAACAACCCTGCTGAGGCTAACGACCCTAACTAATTAGCATCTCACTGACCTTGTCCCAAGTTAGGGCGTTGTTTTTAGGATGTCGTCATAGGTGCGAGGCAAAACAAATCTTAACCCTCCTCCCTGTGTATTTCAAACCTTTCAACACGTTAAGACAGAAATTAGTGCATCCCAAAGACAAAACACCCAGACACAAACAGAGCAATGTGGTGTATTCAATTAAATGTAGTGAAGAGGAGTGCACTGACCACTACATTGGAGAAACTAAACAAACTCTACAGAAACGACTTTACCAACATCGTAGAGAAAACTCTAGTGGGCCACAGTCGGCTGTTCATCTCCACCTCAAGGCCTCCAACCACACGGTGGATGACACCGAGGATAAAATTCTCGCTCGGGAGAAGAATTGGTTTGGGAGAGGGGTGAAAGAAGCCATTTTTGTGAGGAAACAAAAACCTTCTCTTAACAGAGGAGGAGGGTTAAGATTTGTTTTGCCTCGCATCTATGACGACATCCTAAAAACAACGCCCTAACTTGGGACAAGGTCAGTGACATGCTAATGAGTTAGGGTCGTTAGCCTCAGCAGGGTCGTTAGATCTGCTCCCTTCTACATCAAACAGACCTTAGATTGTTTATGAGTTAGTATCAGGATTAGGGTGTGGCTAACCACACCCATAGGTTATAAATCTCCAACGCGCGGTCTGAGAATTCATTCCCTGAAGAAGTCCTTAGGATTGAGGACGAAACGTCGGGAAAACTTGCTAAGAAGTACAGATGATGGGTGAGAAACCTTCCTTTGCTTTTCCTACAGGGACAATAAAGTAAAACTTACTTACCTAAATGGTTTGAAAACAGCAGCCATCAAGCCCCTCATAAAAAAGTGTACCGTGGAAACCAGAGTACTGAATCCTTCTCATCCCATCTCAAAACTGTTGTTTATTTTAAAACATCATTTGATATGTTCCAGTCTGGCTTTAGATCCAACCTCAGCACTGAGACCGCTCTTGTCAATGTGAAAAATGACAGCCGGCTGAACACTGACACAGGCAAAACTTCAGCCTGAATCCTGTTAGACTTGGGTGCTGCTTTTTACACCGTCGACACTGAGATCCTCTCACAGAGACTAGAGGACGGGGTGGGAATTAATGCAAATGAAGTATTCCTAAAGTTAGTAATTGTTTGTATGTTTTTGTGTGAGAATCTCAAGCTTAGTCAGGGTCAAAGAATTAAATACAGACACAGTGGTATTCACAAAAATATCGGGTCGCACGGTTGAGAGAGAGACAAGCGGAGCAAGACAGACACAGAAATCAGTCACCCTCGACATGTATGACTGAAGTCAACGCAAGTTGAGCTGTGTTCTCCCAAAAAGGAAATTGGTTAAAGAGAACATTTAACCCTGCCTGATGCTTTACAAAAGTATACAAGCAAACTCTGTAAATGATGTAGAGGTCGACCAATCACAGAGGATCGCATGCCCTGTTCAATTTGTACCTATGTCCATTTTATGCGCATAAAGACTATTCTTCACAAACCACAAGTTGAGCATATTGGTGTTAATTACATTTCTCTGACTCATTATGTACATCTAATGGTCCTTGCCATATTGGCTTTGATTATTTCGGATTACTAATGACTGTGTTCAGGCAGAATTGCTCTCCGGCCACCAGGGGTCTGTGATTTAATCATTCTTGATGATTGTAGTATTGCTACCTTAATTCACCATCAAAAAATATATTTGGTGAGTTGCACAATAGGAATAGAATAGTCAAAGGCAATTTAGCCTATTCATATTAATAATATAGAGTAGTCCATATAAAGTTAGGGGCTAGCTCTGCCCCTGGTTTGCTTCATCTCTGCATTGGGGATATGTCTAGACTCTGACTGGGGTCTACATGTGCAGCACCACCACAATCACTGAAACAATGAGCGGCAGCGTTGTTTTGCTGGCGGAACAGGACGCTGTTGATCACGTTGATGAGCGGTAAATACATCTGTAAGTCGCATCAGGCAGAAGTTTCTCTACAGAGACCTTAACAAAACACTGCAGTAGTTCTTACTGTTCTTGAGCGTTTCTGCCAGTGGCTCCAGGTTCATTTTCTTCAGCATGTGTAAAGTCAGGTCCAGAACAAATCTTCTGGGCTTATTCTCCTCTTCAAAATGCAATTCATTTGAGTTGTTGTCGTCGTGAAAGCAATCTTCGCTCACCAATCTCTCAAAGTCCTTCAGCTCACTGTTCACATAATCATGAATCTTCTTTTGAAGATGCTGGAAGAAAGTGTTAGATTAGACCTTTATCAGAAAGCATAAATCAAAAGCATGAGACCATTTTACCTGAAACGCAGATGGAACGTCCACTTCACCCAAACAGGATTCTTTCAGATGATCATGGGGTTCACTGTTACATAAACAGTGAGGTGTTAATGCAAACCATTCGTATGGTGAGTGACTTTTGTAAGTGTCGGGCCACAACTATAAACCGCACCAGCTACATTTGTAAAAATGAAATATATTTTGTACATAAGAAGGCTTCTCTCATGAGATATTATAAGGCCCATTCACATAAACGTTCTGAGAAAGAAGTGGGAACAGGTCCGACAAGTTGTACCATTTACGATACTAATCAATCCTGTGAAACTGGTGGCATTCTTTATTAGCTTCTTTAGCTCTGGACAAGTTCTAACAGGAAGCATCACAAATGAAGAGCGATAGACATGTTTTCATCATGCGCTGTTGACTCGTTATGAGAAAAGCTTAGGATAGTAATAGCATTTAAAGAGCGGCTTATGGTCCGGCAATTACAGTATTTCTAAAAAAAAACATGTCTGGTGTAATGTTTCAGCTAAGACCGCTCCGAGATCGGGCCCTAAAGCTTCATGAACTTACTGTGCAGAGTCCCTCTTAAAATCCACAACAATGTCCTTAGAGTCGATGCTGTCACTCACTGAAACAGCACTCTCAGCGCTGGCTCTGAAATCCAAACATTGTACAATTTAACTTTTTTTTTCACATTAATGTTTTGAATATTCTATTGTGATTGTATCAATGCAAGTGCATTTTGTAAAGTCTTCTTCTTCCCCGATTGCTAAGCCTTTATGGGCGGCCAGCTCTGTCCCGGGGGTTTTGAAATTCCATTTAAATGATAGAAGCCACTGGTCTCTTCGGGCTCAATGCTGTTCCAATGTTTTTCTTACCTTTCCCAGATTTGTGCCCCATAGAATTGTGTTTCATGGATTGGCCTTGAAGGTCACAGACAATCCTTAGATCTCATGGCTTGGATTCTGCTCTGTCATTCACCGTTGGCTGTGAGACCTTATATAGGTACAGTATGTTCAAGTTTACATGAACATACTGTCGCAGGGGCGACAGTGGCTCAGTTGGTAGAGCATTGGCCTTTGAGCCTGAAGGTTGTGGGTTTGAGCCCACCATAAAACCTACTTCACAACTCCCACTGATGACTGCTGTCGTTGTGTCCTTGGGCAAGACACTTAACCCCACTTTGCCTGAAGCCCCCATTGAAAGATCTCAGCTCCTGTGGACTCACCACCTGCAGGAGGATCAGTGAGGGGCTGGTGCTAAGTGTACTGGGTGCAGCTCTGACTGCCACCCCCCCGACCCAGAAATGGATTAAGGGGAAGAAAATGGAGGATGGATGTTCAAGTTTTATCAGTAGAAATTATCCCAGCTGTCAAACCAGTAAGATTGTTGAAATATCTCAACAACAATCAGTTCAAACAGGAGCATCTGAGCTCAGCATTGAAAGTCCTATCAAATATTTCAGTTTTGTCTTTTCTTTTTTCCACTTTGTCAATAAAGGGATTAGCTTAAGTTTACATTACATACATTGTTTTCTTCCATCTAACACAGTCCATTGCCGTAAACGATGTAGCATTCAAAGAGTGACTTATGCTTCGTCAAAAAAACCTGTCTGGGGTAATGTTTCAGCTAAGACAGCTCCCCGATCGGGCCCTAAAGCTTCATGAACTTACTGTGCAGAGTTCTTCTTAAAATCCACAACAATGTCCTTAGAGTCGATGCTGTCACTCACTGAAACACCGCTCACAGCGCTGGCTCTGAAAACCAAACATTGTACAATTTTACTTTTTTTCTTAATGTTATGAATATTCCATTGTGAATGTATTAATGTAAGTGTGTTGAGAAAGTATTCCACCCCTTCACCTTTTCTACATTTTGAAATGTTTGTAAAGTCTGTAAAGTATTCGAATATTGGTCACATTTTCCTCTCTGGTCCTTCTGCAGGTGCTGGTCCTCTCTGGTCCTCCTGCAGGTACTGGTCCTCTCTGGTCCTCCTGCAGGTAGTGGTCCTCTCTGATCCTCCTGCAGGTGGTGGTCCTCTCTGGTCCTCCTGCAGGTGGTGGTCCTCTCTGACCCTCCTGCAGGTGCTGGTCCTCTCTGATCCTCCTGCAGGTGGTGGTCCCCTCTGGTCCTCCTGCAGGAGGTGGTCCTCTCTGATCCTCCTGCAGGTGGTGGTCCTCTCTGATCCTCCTGCAGGAGGTGATCTCCTCTGGTCCTCCTGTAGGTGGTGGTCCTCTCTGATCCTCCTGCAGGTGGTGGTCCTCTCTGGTCCTCCTGCAGGTGGTGGTCCTCTCTGATCCTCCTGCAGGTGGTGGTCCTCTCTGGTTCTCCTGCAGGTGGTGGTCCTCATCCTCCTGCAGGTGCTGGTCCTCTCTGGACCTCCTGCAGGTACTGGTCCTCTCTGGTCCTCCTGCAGGTAGTGGTCCTCTCTGATCCTCCTGCAGGTGGTGGTCCTCTCTGGTCCTCCTGCAGGTGGTGGTCCTCTCTGATCCTCCTGCAGGTGGTGGTCCTCTCTGGTCCTCCTGCAGGTGGTGGTCCTCTCTGGTCCTCCTGCGGGTGGTGGTCCTGATCCTCCTGCAGGAGGTGGTCCCCTCTGATCCTCCTGCAGGTGGTGGTCCTCTCTGGTCCTCCTGCAGGTGGTGGTCCTCTCTGATCCTCCTGCAAGTGGTGGTCCCCTCTGGTCCTCCTGCAGGTGGTGGTCCCCTCTGATCCTCCTGCAGGTGGTGGTCCTCTCTGATCCTCCTGCAGGTGGTGGTCCTCTCTGATCCTCCTGCAGGAGGTGGTCCCCTCTGATCCTCATGGAGCTTTCGCGAAAGTTCACTGTGGTAGACCCGGCCGCTGCTGCCAGATCTACAAGCCTGCTCATCCTCGACTCATCATACCAGCAACGCCCACATCTAATCAACCAATAACCACCAGGACAGCAAGTTAAAAGCCGGAGACGCCCACTTCCCGGCCTTCTGAAGCCTGCAAGGTGCATGTCGCTAACGCACCTGTTCGCAATGCATGCGTTGTTTTGGAGGGGTCGCTTTCTGCTCACGTGTTGCTCGTGCGCGTGACCCGGCTGTTCTCAGTCTGGCTGCTTGTGGTCTGCTCCTCCTCCGCGTCCCTGCACCTGCTGGTTTGCGTGTCTCCGCCGCTCTCCTCCTCTGCGGGCTCTTTCTGCGGGCTGCTCCGCGGGGCCCCTCCGCGGGCTCTATGCTGCTCGTCTCCTCGTGGTCTGCTGCTGCGTGCAGACTGTCTGGCCCGGTGCCGTGCGTGTCCCTGCCTCCGATTGGCAGTGCCGCGTTGTCCCGTTGCTTTTCCCACGTCTTCTGGCATGTGTGGTGGTGAGTGTGCGGACGGATTATTCCCTGAGTCTGGGCTGCAGGCGGTTGGTTTTGCCCTGCGCACTGGACTGCAGGCGGTTGGTTTTTGTCTGTAGTTCTACTTTACCTTTCTGCAGTATTGTGTTTCTCCTGTGTCATTAGATTTGTGCATTTGAACCTGTGTAGTCCTTTACTTCCTTTCCCATCATGGTCCTTTACATTTTATCACATTGTTCAATTATATTTGGTTAAAACATTTAGTGCTTTTTTACTTACTGTGAAATGTCTTTTTTTAAATCCAAGGCTATCTCCTTTGAGTCGATGCTGTCACTCACTGAAACACAGCTCTCTGCATTGACCCTAAACAACAAGAAAACACAAAACTATCACTTTCTGTTCTGTTAAAAACTTTCCTTATTAGAATCTTACGGTGAAGCTGTGGTGGTTTTAAATGCCATTGGAGAATCTTTGGACTTGCTGGAGACAACACTTTGCAGATCATAGGACTTCTCTGGATCAGCGCTGAAAAACATCAGACTATTGGATCCATTCTCTCTTTTCCCAGAGTCTCAGAGATCTGCACAAACCTCGTAACAGATCTCCTTCTTCCTTTTTTCTGAGGGGCAGGGGTTTGGGTGGAAGAATCGGTTTTCTCTGGATTATTTCTAAAAAAATAAAGAAAATAAAAATTGTTTTAAATTTTAGCTAAACGACCTGCCCGCAAAGACAAGGCTAGCTCCATCAGTACTTTCTTTAGAATCACTTTTGTCTAACGGCCCTCCCGTAACTATGTATACAGAGTTATTATGTTAGCATTGTCTATCTATATACAGTTTGTTGTATTACTGTGCAAACAAGATCAACACATTTAAAGTGTAATATTAGTCTTAGAATGTCATATTTTGTTCAATACAATCTTCTATACAGAAGAAATCCCTGATTGTCTGAGAGCCACAAGCATCAAAAGAGCCACATCTGGCTCCTGAGCCACAGGTTCCTGACCCTGGTGTTCAGTCTATGATTCTGACAAAGAGAACATTCAAATCTCACCCTGAGCTGTCTGAGCACTGGGAGCAGGATCTGGACCGGTCTACATAAGGACCAGGACCAGAACTGGGACCAGGACCAGGACCAGAACTAGGACCAGGGACAAGACCAGGACCAGGAACAAGACCAGGACTGGGACCAGGAAGAAGACCAGAACCAGGACCCATGGAAGGAGCCTCCTCTTCTTCAGGATGAGACATGGTTCTAAATCACAGCAAGTTTTTAGAGAAGTAAGCAGTGTTTTGGTTTGGGTTTTGTTTTGGGTTTGTGTAAGCCCTCAGTGTTTTGTTTTGTTTTGTTTTGAATCTTGTTTGACTTCATTCCTTCAGTCCTACAGAAAGTCCCTGCAACACGTGTTTGAGACACGTGTTGCAGGGACTTTCTGCAGAGGTTTTGGGACTGCAGACCTGAAACAGAGGCATACTTGTGTTGGATATTGACGATTCATTTTATCAGTGTATGTACATGTACAGTATGTGTGTATGTAGGATTTAGTATTAAGAGATTGTCCCACTTTGGGGAAATGTCAGTGTTGCATCACCAGTCACAGAACAGTAGGAATGAGAAGCACACAGCAGAAGATGAAGTGAACAAGAACTATGCTAAAACAAAATAAAATCTCTAACTGCAGCATAATAAAGAAGCAAGTATAAAATTTAATCTGAATAAAATTTTATCTGCTTTTTTATTGTTTTAGTCACAGATATCTCTCTGTTCTTTATCAACAGCTAAACATAATCCTATTATCTAGAGTCTGTCGTCTGCAGGTGAAGTTGGGAGGGTTAACTGTTAGGAAGTGTTTCTCTCTGACTGGAACAGAGTTATATCCTGCTCCTGTCTCTGTTTACACTAAAACTGCTCTTGTACAAACCTCCAGAAGAGTTTAGAATCTAAATATATCTATCTTCAATAATACGTACTGCTGTTGATACTAAATCACTGTGCAGTATAATAGACAACATTAACAACAGTTAGTGTGTGTTTGTGCGTGTATGTGTGTGCGCCTGTGCATGTGTTTGTCTCTGTGTGTGTGTGTGTGCGTGTACATGTGTGTGTGTGTGTGCGTGTACATGTGTGTGTGTTTGTACCTGTGTGTGTGTATATGTTTGTCTGTGTGTCCGTGAATATGTGTGTGTGTTTGGGCTTGTGGGTGTGTCTGTGTGTACGTATGTCTGTGCATGCATGTGTGTGTGTCCGTGTATGTGAGTGTGTTTGTGCCTGTGTGTACGTGTGTGTCTGTGTGTACGTGTGTGTGCGCTTTGTCTTTTTAGTTTTTTTGTGCATTGTTTCACCTATAGGGGCTTGTCCTCCAAACACATAAATAAATACATTTCATTGGGTTTCAGAAATAAAAATAAAACAGTTTGATGAAAGAAAGAAAGGATGCATCAAAATCACTACTAAGTGCAGACATAGCAGCGGGTCCACATAGAAAAATAACTGGTGAAGAAGAATAAATGAGTCATAGTCTGTGGTAATGTGACATCACCGCAGTGTTTACAGGAAAAAGGAGGAACCTGATACAAAAATAAACAGTATTATCATTAACATTCTTGTTTGAAAAGATAATGTTGAAATGAAACAGGCATTTGCTTCCCCCAGAGGAGAAATGTCAGTGTTGCATCACAAGTTACAGAGCAGTAGGAATGAGGAACACACAACAAACAAAACATCTGCCTTTAACTTAATGAAGAAACAAAGTATAACCAAGTATTCACATATAAGGGTTATATGTACTCTAACGAACAATAGCTTTTACTGAAGCCATGTACACGCACTAAACTCTCAGACAATATAAATAATGACCATGTCTAACTGCTACAGACTTTGATTTCAACATTTGTGAGTTTTTTTCATGAATACATATGTTTTTCTTTTTTTATTTTCTTTTACAGTAAATGATCTTTACTGTAATGTAAATGTATGTTACAGCATTTGTCTTTTTTATATTCTTTATTAGTTATAAGAATGCATTAAGTCCTCAATATTCAATTTCATTTTTGACCAAGGATTTGTTTTTTTTATATGTAGTCAATAAATTACGTTCTAAAAACTGTGATTATGAAATTCATGATTACTGTGTAGATTGAAATTAGGACTAAGTGCTCAAACCGATCCACCCAAATGGTGTCCCTTATTTTTTGTTCTCAAGTTGGCAAATGGAAATTTAGCTGCATCATCTACACAATACAAGACACACACACACGCAGAAACAGCTACAACACAACAAGTATTAGGCAATAACACACATACACACATATACACAGACCAAAGCAAATGCGACCTGTATTATCTAAAAAAAGAGCAAAGTACACCGGGTATCTCACCGAGTTGACTTCTTCTCTATCCAAAGTGAAACTAAAATGAGAGAGGCGAGGCAGTGGGGGAGGGGAAACATGCGGTCTACTGAGAGATGAGTTATACTATACAATACAATTTATTCTTGTATAGCCCTAGGTCACAACAGAAGTCATCTCAGAGACTTAACAAAACCATTGAAATCACCAACACAGGTCAGAGAATCAACAGTTAAAACACATGAAAAATATAAAGCACACACAGAAGAAAATGTCCATACATGTTGTAGAATGTGAAAGTGTCCTGAACTGTCCTGTACTGAAACTGGTTTGGTCTCTGTTTCAAACCGTTTATCATAGATATTATTATTATTATTTTTTTTTTTTTTCTGTATTCAGAAGCGTTGGCCTCAGTGAAAGACAGTGCAGGGACTGTGCTGCCCTCTGGCGTTTCAAATAACACACTGCATTTTATTTAGAGAACTTAAAACGAGTCCGGCCCTGACTTGAGGCTATATGACTAACATTTACAGACTCAAAGGACTGGACCCTAGGGACTGTGATGACGTCCATTTAAGGACATGTATATTTATAAACACTTATGGACCACTGGCTCTTTGGGTTTGTTTTCATTGCCTTTCCTGAGTTTGAACCGATTCTCTTATCTGTTGTTGGGGAATCGGCAACTTTGTAAAGTCCACAGAGATGAATGCTACTGTGATTTAGAGCGATACAGAAATACATTGAATTGAATTGAAGTCTAAGAGCTTGTTCCAAAGTGAAAGTAAAAGTAAAATGGTGTGAACAAATGAGACCACAACATGCTGTCTGTATATTTAGAAAACATGTTTGTGTGAGAAAGATCCCTGTGAGTCACTATCTGCCTCTTTGGGCTCAGAGCTGATTGACTGAGTGAGGGTGGACTTTTCTGTCTGAACGAATATTCAATTCATATAACTTTATTTATCCATGAGGAACTTGGGGATCCATAGAAACACAGGGCCGCAAGATATAAAATACAAATACAATAAAAGTGCAGATATTCTGACCGCTCTCTGATCAGCGGTTTGTGTCTGAGAACAACAACATGATGTGAAAACTGTTTTAGAGCCAGGAACCAGTGACAGGTCCTTAATTCCCACTGCTGCCAGACTGTACAATAAGTCACTAATGCACTAGGACACGAAAAAAACCTGCACTGCTATTGCCACTGTTTCTTTAATTGCCACTTTTATTGTACATCATTATATCCTGAACAGACTAGATTCTTTGCACACTTCTTTCTTTTGCACAAACTGAGTGATTCTATCCGTGCTAAATGTGACACGTGCAATTCTCCTGTGAGATCAATTTTTATCTTATCTGACATGGATTTGCTACAGAGGTCGACAAGTTAAAAGTCAGGTTCCCAGCTTTAAGTTAGAGATTTATTTGTGTTGAAACAAAATCATGCAAAGTATTATGTTATTGTTCTTCAGTGTAGGTCACAGAACAGTCACAGTTCATGCAGTGACCGTTAGATTTTATGATTCAAAGTGACGAATAAGTGGCTAAATAAACATGACATTTTGCTGAAGACCTGTGTTTTTGTCCGTACAGAAGTTAGACGACAATAACTTATCAATAACAGTTTGCACCTTTATGTTTTATATGCTTCAAATGTTACAAATCCTATTCTTTGTGGCATATTTTTCTTCTTGCCCTGTAAAAAGACATGAGGTCAAATGTATTCTGTAATTATTATCATAGAGCTAAGAAGTGCTCACTGACGCAGATTCAGACAGATCTGTGGATGAAAATAGAGAGTATTAATTGTTGTGTTTATGTGTGTCCAGTGCATACAGTGTGTGTGGAGCTGGATACTGAGACTCGACACCATCTTTGCAGAGTAAAAGCACTTTATTCTTATGTTTACAGGAGCACAGACACTTATTTACAGAAGAGTCAGTGTTGGAGTCAGTGTTGGAGACAGTGACAGACGCAGAGCTTGGACCTGGTTTATAAGATGCATGTATTCTAGTGGAGCACACAGGACTGTGCAGGAGCATCGACCCTGAAACATACACAAGTATCACAGCAATATGCATTCCCTCTGTACTTGTAGCCACAGCTGCCCTGAGCCAGAATGACCAGTGATTCACACAAAGAGGTTTACATTGTTGAGTGTTGGCCTGACTGGGCCCTGGGTGATAGATAAGTTGATAGCCTCTATAGGTCGCGTTCATGTTGCAGAATTGTATTTCAGTATTTCAGCAGGAGCCAATACCGATCTATAGGAAAGACATTTTCGAAGGAAAGTCCTTTCCACTGACCAACATCTAACTCATGTTAATGAATATTCACCACTTCTTGACACTTTTATAAGAAAATAATGAGAACATAGTTGATATGAGCTGACACAGATTATGTGGAACTTTGTGATAGTTTTGTTTCATGTGGAATCTTCCAAGAACAACAGAGTCATGACTTCATCTCTCTTCATGAAGTCCTTTGAGCGCCTGGTCCTCCCCCACCTCAAGTCCTTCCCCTCCCCTCCCCTGCAGTTCGCCTACAGAGCCAACAGATCTGTAGACAACACCATACACCTGGCCCTCCACTCCATCCTACAGCATCTGGACTTCATGGGATCCTACGCCAGGGTTCTGTTTGTGGACTTCAGCTCTGCCTTCAACACCATCCTGCCATCCCTGCTCCAGGACATTACAATACAATACAATACAATTTATTCTTGTATAGCCCTAAATTACAACAGAAGTCATCTCAGAGGATTAACAAAACCAGTGAAATCACCAACACAGATCAGAGAATCAACAGTTAAAACACATGAAGAATATAGAACACATGTTGATAAATGTCCATACATGTTGTAGTATGTTAAAGTGTCCTGGATCATCACCACAGTCCTTCTAGTTGGACACTAATGCCGCTTTTCCACAGTATCAGTACGGTACAGTACAGTACGCTTCAGCACAGTAATTTTGCGTTTCCACTAGTGGATGGTATGGGAGATTTGAGTACTTTTCCGTACTGCCTCAGCTGTGGTTCCATCCCCATAGTACCCGTGCCATGACGTCACGTCGGCCCACTGCCTTACACTGATTGGTCAACGAGTGTCGTCACTGGAAGCGACATCTGACCCTTTGGGAAAAACAACTCAACCGCCATCTTTAAAACCGGGTGCTCTGCTCGGCTCTGCTTCGGCTACATTACGACCTCCTCACTCCAGAGAAATGGAATTGCACAGAAAGCCCTGGTCCTGTAACCTGGCAAGAGCCAGATTGATGATTGTGTAGAACTCTAACGCGTTCTCCGCGATATCAATCTGGGATTTCTCCCGGAGAATCCTTTCGGGGAAAGGAGGGATAAGCAGCAGAATACTTGAAGCTGATTGGGCGAAGTGACGCTGTGTGCCCGCCTACCAAGGTTTGACTTACGTAGGTAAAAATGCACAAACATCTTTGCCGTCCAGAAATGCACAAAGCGCCTCTCGCTGTTCATCTTTCAAAAAAGAAATGGGAGATTCTGCTAAAACTGACTTGATAGCCTCAGCTACGCGTCCGTCCTCCTGCGTAGCCATGTTTGTTTTGCTTCGGCCCGGCACTTCTTGCTTTCGTCAAACCCGGATATCCCGCCCTAAACCCCCAGACTGGCGCGTGATTGGCTCGCACACCCAGTGGTTCGACTCGAAAAGTGTAAGCGGGAGCGGTACAAGATGTATTCTCGAGTGTTTGTGAACTCACAAATACCGCGAGAATTCAGCTTGCAGGCAAGGTTACTGGTCCTGGTCGGTGGAAGAGGTCCACACGTTCCTCTCTTCAGGCCAAAAGAAAGAATTCAAAGGCAGCTCGAGGCTCAACACAGTTTTCAGGAGATCACCCAGCTCTGGATATGTGACTAGTCTGTGGTAATCCTGAAATAACTGGTTAGCTACGAACCCCCTAAAGCTCTCACTGAAATGTATTTACTGTGTACATGCTCGATTGTCTGTTGTACACAGTGAGCTAGCTACATTTAGCTTCATTTAGCTATCGATAGCAGCTAAGCTAACGTCCTCCCTGTGCTACTGTGCTTGATCTCGTATTATCTGCAGTATTCATGTGTTGTCATTCTGTTTTGTGCTTGTATTTAAGTTGTCGTGTGTATATTTGTATGAGAATCCCTTCCCATAAGTGTGGAGATTACCAACGAGCAATGAGTGACCGGAGTATTCTGGCCTGGCCTGGACCTGGTCTGGACCTGGTCTTAGACATACGTACTTTTGACTTTGTAAACTGTTGGTTTTGCACTTTACTTTTGTTTTCAATAAATCTGTGATTGTATCCCAAGACTGTGTTTCATGCATTTATTATTATTGTAGCTGAGGTTTGGGTATCGATTGTTTGTCTGGTCTTGGAGTCTGCTGTAGTCCGGACCCGAGTCCGGACAAGCCTAGCCTAGCTTAGCCTAGCCTAGCCGCTAACTCGCTACCCCTATGGCTGCCGCTGTCTCTCCCTCGGTCCTTTACTGCTCGAGTTGCCATATGACGAGTTTAAACCCCGGATCCTCCTCTGATGGCAGTGATAGATGTGTTAAGTGTAGTATAGTGGTAGCTTTGGAATCCAGGGTTAGTGAGTGAGCAGATCAGTCTAGATCACATGTGTCAAAGTCAAGGCCCGCGGGCCAAATCCGGCCCGCGAATGAATTATCTATGGCCCCCGGGACATTGCCTGCCATTGAGGCAATGTATTGACCCCTTAAGCTCGCTAGCCCCGGGAGCAAACGAGGAAAAAAATACATCTGCTGGCAATAGCAGATGTATTTTGAACTTCATAAGCCACAAGCTATATATCATTTTAAAGCTTATTTTCTCAGCTATATTTATATGTAAGTGTAAACGATATCAGACTTTGCATTAAAAAGATATAACGCATAATATGGGCACAAAATAAATCAGTCTGTATTTGTTTTTTACCTTTCGTCTTCTGCTGCTCCAACAAATTAGACTTTCCCCATCCTTGCTTAGTCTCTTTCTCTCCGTAACTGTTCATTGAAGAAGAATATCCACTTGTATTTCCCAAAGTATAATCCATTCTGCAGATTTAATCAAAAAAACGCCCCGAAA